GCAAAGTTTAACCTCAGCAAAATTATGAAGGATGCCAAAAGATCTCATAACACTGTCTCAAAATTCCACTTTCACAGCCCTATAATTTCATGGCACATTTGGCATCCTAGCAAGGGTTCTTAGGTGACATGGAGCAACATGTTGCCACAAAGCAAGTGCAGTTCATGCAGTGTCAGCTGCCCCCAGCCCCACCAGCTGTGCTTACGTGTGCAGGGCCCTCTGGAGCACAGCACCTTGGAGCAACGCTCTCCAGAGACACACTGAGGGCCCTGATTTCTGTCCAAACATAATTACACCTCTCTGCAGGCATTACTGCACTGGTCACTCTCAAGTCATGCTGTTACTTCCTTTTTTAATCTCTTTTAGTAGATTCCATCTACTGTACCCGAAGACATGACGGGTCTCGGTCTCTGAGAGTGTGCTGGACACGTATGGGTGACCCAACATACACACATGATGTTTTAGTATATATGATCTATGGAGTGCCCCAGATTCTGAAAACATGCCTTCAACTGCCTTGGCTCTTGGCTATAATCAGCCTACAAATACAATAGGTTTTAGCTAACTTAAGAGGAGATGGATTATTTGCTTCACAAAAAGAGAAATGTCAGATAAATAAGGGAAGGGAAGGCACCCAAGTATCTGCCTGCCAGAGACTGTGTGTAAATTGAAAGGGATCCCTAAGATAGCATGATAAGAAGACAGCAAAGAGTTTACTTATTAATGAAATATAACTGAGAATTAGGTCTGCTTCTCTACAGAAGTCTGATCATCACTTCCCTTAGGGCTGACCAGCAGAAAAACAATTTCATTCCAGATATGAATAAGTATACCTGTTAAGAATTGCATTTTGCATTCTATCTTTCTAAGTAAAGAAACTGTCTTTTCCACAAGGAATAATGCCTGTGGAATCAGGACCTGAACATTACAACATAAAGTTCCTCTAACCCATCAAATTTTAGCTTATAGAATTGACTGCTTGACTCAAGAATACAGAGTATGCCTTTAACTATTTTTGGAGCACTGGAAAGGTACAAGAATCAGAAATAAAATAAATTCTAATTTATCTTGCTACTCTACTCTTCAGAATCTTGTCATTTACTGAAGTCTTAAGTAAAAGCAACCTTATGAAAAATTACTTTTGTGTCATATGTTGTGGAAGATGAAAGAGGAAAGCCTTATAAATATGATTGCTTGGCAAAAGATTTTGAGGATATGGAAACTATAAGCAAGATTGAAATGAAAACAAGCTTTGAGATACCAAGCCTTCATTACTGAACAACTGGAAAACAATAGTATGGCCAGCTGAAGGTAATCCCCGTTTGATTAAACAATACCCTCTTGCTTGCAGACAGGTCCCAGGTTCAGAGCAGGCCCCATGGCTTGGCAGAAGAGGTCCAAACAGTAGTTTTCATGGTTTAAAATGTAACACAGTATGGTAATTCAATGATTCTTATAGGCTGTATGTAAATGGTATAGGATTTTATCTTGTACTAGATTGGTTAGTGAAAATTAGAATATTCAGCACAGAAGAAGATTTATTGTATTGTAATGAGAAATTCCTCCCTCTCGCTCTTTCGGGTCTCTCTTTCAGGCTCTTCTTTCGGGTCTGCTCGGGGCTGGGGCTGGCAGTTCTAAGCAGGGCCCCTGCACCCACACCCTTTGCAATAAACCACAAGTTCCAAGACCTGGCTTGAGAGATCTCCCATCTCCATCCGTCCCAACCATCCTACTCACCCTCACTCCTACAGTCATGCCCTTTACCCATAAAATAATTGTTCCTACCTGAAAAAGACTACAGACCAGAATAAAAAAAATATTATTTCTTTATCTATTTTTAGTGTCAACTTCTTAGCACTATGACAAATAACAGGAAACAATACAAATATAATTTGAAAAGACATTTAAAACTGACCTTATAAGGCATGTATTGTAAGTCTGATACACAGTCCTGAAAACAGTTATGATGACCTAGTTTCAGAAAAACTTCTGGCATAGATTTAGTGATAAAATATGAATGAAGAAAACCACTGAAGTAAAATTATACTTTACAAAACACTTGAAAAAATATTTCAGATATTCAGACAGTCATTTCTACACTGATTTCCATATGAGCACAACTTTCTACAGAAGTAGTATTATCTTCTGATATTGGTATGTTTTATCAAGCCTGATATGTAAGGAGATACTTATCCAGCCCATTGAACGATAGAATATCTTCAGAAAGTACCTAAGAAACTTTTATACTTAATCCAGTTTCTACATAGTACCAGTGCCCTGACACATGAATATCTCCAGCCTCTCAGTTCCAGAAAACTGTACTTACAGGATACCTACAGGAAATTAGTGTTTTGGTTCCAGATTGTACCAATACAAGATTCCTTGTGCAGGCACTCACCATCTGAGAAAACGAACATGATGGGACAAGACAGAGAAATTTATAAATTCATTAAACACCTTAATTGCAAATTTTAATCCTCTGGTATCTATGTACAATGCTGGCGTCCAACATTTTCTGTAAGATGCACTTACAGATGGAAACAATATTTTGGGTTGGAAGGGACCTTAAACATCATTTAGCTACAAGCCCCCTGCAGGGAGGCAGAGACGCCCTCCACTTGGGTTGCTCAGAGCCTCATCTAACCTTGCCTTGAACATTTCCAGGGATGGCGTATCCACAGAGCAACCCGTTCTGGTGTCTCACCATTCTCTTTGTGAAGGATCTGAAGACAGGCAAGGTATTTCTTCATGATATGACCTCACCCTCAGCAACCCAACAGGCCATCATGTTGTGTCACTGTAGACACAGCACCATGCACACACCTCATCCAGGGCCTGACCTGTGGCCAGAGGCTCACCACAACCAGCAATGCTTGTATGACCCAGCTATTAAAGATGCTTGTGCTGTCCTGTAGCAGCAGCCACATTTCAGACAGGACCCCTTGGAGATGCTTCTCCAATAGAACAGCAGGAGCAGGTGTGCAGTAACAGCTCTACAAAACAACCCCCAACCCTTACCATATCCCCATATCCAACCAACACAAGGGGCTTTTCCAGGAGATGTCAGCAGAGCTGCTGTGGCTGCTCTGCTCGGGGCCAGGCACAGGCCAGCCCTGAGCACAGGCCAGTCCCAGGGAGCAGACAAGGGACAGGGGCTGCCAGCCAGAGCCATGCAGGCTGCCTCCAAGAGCACTGAATTACAGCTCCTCACTCACGTTTGTCTGAACACCTACTCATGGTCAGTGGGTCTAAAGATTTTGAGTACTCTTTGAGACAGTTATATTTCACATTTGTGAAATGGTATTTAAATCAGATCTAGACCAGACAATACAGGTTCTCTCTAGTGATGAGACATCCTTGAGCAATGTACAGAGTTGACATCCTTCATTTTATAGCTCTTATGGCAAGAGAGACCAGATTAGATAAAAAAAAGTAATGTAGTGCATTGCATATGATTTGATACTCAAATGCCTCTATACTGTTACATAGCTCTGTACTGTCACAAGGTAAAAATTTAGATTTCCAGCTAAGCAAGTGATTAATTTTTTTTCTTGCCTAGCCAGACACCTCCCAGATTTGTCTAAAGGTGACTTCATCTTTATTTCAAAGAAAATAGAAATGTATACAAACCTGGCCTTTCCATAACTTGCAAGTGAGCTGGTAAAATACAAGGCTGCTACAAAGACTTGCCTACTGATGGAGTCACTAGTGTCTGCATGATATTCAGGGCTTTCTGTATATACATTCTTTCACCTCTTCTTCATTCCCTCCTGCTCATTCTGCATTCAATAAGTCACACAGTCAAGCTTCCTACCCTCTTCTGCATTGTTACCTCTCCTTTCTTTTTTTAGTTCTACTCTTTACAGTATTTGAAATCCCACACACAGCCCCTCAAAGTTTAGTTTAAAAATTTACCACAGTTTCTGACAGTGCAAATCATTGTTTTGCTCCATTTTGTTGTACAATAAAACTCTTATTACTTTGGTTTGGAAAGAACCGAGAATTTTTTTCTCTGTGTTTGAATGGTGGTTAGCACAAGGGAGACCTTCAGATAGGACCTCACACAGCACAGCACTGTAAACTTACATTGAACTCTATGAAAACATCACAACAGTTTATTTCTTAAATACTGAGAATACAACCTATCTTCTGTACATACCTTGAAATATATTATATATATATATATGCATACTTATATAAATTGCTTAAATACTTCTTTTATATGAATGTTATTCAAACACAAGTAACCTTTTCCATGTCAAATACACTTGTCCTATACAGTGTCATTATTTGACATTGAGCTTTTCAGAGTGTATTATATGGATTTTCCCCAGAATAGGAAAAAATAAGAAAAAAAGATGTAAGATTTTAAACACTTTAGACATCAAAGCAGAAAATCTTTCCATTTTCCTAGGCGATACATTGAAGTATTCAATTTGAATTGAGAGAAACAGAAATGAGGAAAATTTCTACAGATGGTGAATACACTTGTAGGCTGAAAAGAAAGTAATTAAAACATAATGAAACATTTGCACTAAAGTAACATAAGTTTGTTCAGGAAAATTGCTTTGTTTCAAAATAAGGTTGCATGTTTAAAGGTGAAAAAATCTCATGTTGAAATACACACTGTCTGTGACAAAACCAAAAGCATCTTGCAGCATTTCAGCGACCCTTCAGAAACTTCAGTAAGGAATCCCCCCAAATGAAAGTACAGCTTATGTTGCTTCCTGAAAAGCTGAAAAGTAAGGAATTAGTGTATTAAGCAGGCTCCAGCAAGCAGAAGATAAAAGCTTCAGTCCAACCTGAAAAGAAACTTTGCTTAAAAAAAAAAAAGTTTAGTAAATGTTCAGAGGAAAAAAGATAATTGACCATTTTCTTCATTCCATAGAATATCGTTGATGAGGCAACTTCAACAGGATCTTCAAATCATTAAACTGTAATACATAAGTATTATGTACATTTAGATAATTTGAGAGAGAGAAAAAAAATCTATTTCCTACCAGTCTGGCTGAGTTGCGACGTGCTACGGCTCTTTCTCGATAGCCCCACGATGGCGACCATCTTTGCACCAATGCTGGAGCGTCTCTTTTTGCTGCCACCACCAACAGTGCCCACTGCCGTGTCCGACTGGCTGCCATCGTTCTTCTCCAGCGTGTACATCTCCCCACTGATGCTGGTGCTCTTAGTCATGTTCTTTCCTGAGATGGCCATCTGTCTGCTTTGCATTTTGGATGTAAAGACACTGTCAGCCAGTTGACGGATAAACAGTGCAGACAAAGAGTAAAAAGGGGAAGACAGAAAAGGACAGGTTTCAGATGGAAGGTTTTGGGATACTAAAGGGTAAAAGCAGCTAATCACACAAGTAGGGTTTGGTTTTAAGAGGTAAAAGGAGAAATTTTAATTCTAGGGTCTTGGCTGGTAAAAATAGTGGACTCATCAAAATTGTGTTTTAAACAACAAGCTCTTATTTACTGATCGACTTAAAACTTGTTACTGGCAAAAGTATACAAAAGAATTAATGCATCCATATATCATACAATCACTTTTTGTTTGGAAAATTTAAGTTCTGCCCTCAGTGCTGTGAACTTCTTCTTCTCACATACATATACACAAATAACCTATATTCCTCTGGGAAACAGATACTTGATTTACTACTGAGTGGAAAAGAATATCAGTCTGAAACCCAGTTTTGCTTACTATACATTCAGATATTTCAAGGATGTTCTCAGTAATCTAGTTTAGCTCAGTCACTGTACAGTAATGAACACCCATAGGTTTTTTTCTCCATCTCTGCATCAACAAATACAGGTACTAGACATGTATTTCACACAACACTTGAGTGTTCTGTGGCATAGATCACCGGAACTGAAAAAAATGGAATTCAATTCTAATGTATCTTTTCTACTTGTTTAGAGACTCTGTAAATGTGCTCTATGTGGCTGCATCTAAACTACTGCTGCAGCATTTCAGTTGTCCCAGGGGAACCTGATCTACCAGTAGTCCAGGCTAAGGGACTTTTCCTTTCCTCAGAAATGGCAATCTACACTGATGACAACAGCACTTATACAAAATTTACCCTGACATCTAAGTGGTAGGTGTCTGAAAAAATATCCAGAACTGGAAGCTCTGGGGTACATGTGGGCTTGAAAGTTTATAGAGAATTTTCTATTTCAATTAAGTTCTTGTGTAGAACTTAGACATTTATTATTATTTTCAGTACAGTGCTTCTCACCAAAAAGTCCCCATGAGATGCTATTTTAAATAATCCACAAAACTGTGGAATATTTCTGGAACCCAGGAGAAATTATTTTTTTGTTAAATCACCAATACATAAAGGCTAAAATTAATGTTTTTGTTTCTTAAACAGATTTTCAAATACATGCAAAAAGCTACTGCTAGAGCTTTAGTGCTCAGCAAATGTCTCTAAAGCAAATTTTTCGGACTATACAAAAATATATACTCCTTTTCTCTTATCTATAATGTCCTGAAATCTATTTCATAAAAGGAAGGCATTTTTGTTTCTTTATGAAGATTTTCCAATACTTATTCTGTCAGTAACTTACCTATGGAATTAATGCATTGCACTCAAAAGTAAATGAAGAGTTATAGCTTAGCCACAACCCAGAGGGAAAGCTGAGTTGGTTCATGGCAGAAGTAGACCTTTACCATTGAAAAAATATTGAGTGTAACTTCTCAGGGAAGTTACAGGGAAAAATATGAATGAGAATTTGGATCAGCAGATGGAGAAGCACAAAACAAATCTGAGAGAGAGCTAGAGTGGCCTTGCCTGGACACGCAATCACAAAAGACTGAACACAGTGGTAGCCTGAAAGCTTTTTTCTTACCCTCCTTTAGCTCTCTTTGTTGTTATATGTTAGTACACACTGACTCTTATTAGTACATTTATCACCATGGGAGGAGTGGGATAGGATGTGGGTAAAGAGGAAGTCAGGGAAACAGTAACTCAGAATTTGTATTTCTGTGTCTTATTAGCACTATGTTAACTTACTTCTTAGATGATAACCTCGCATGCTGTATTTTTTAATCAAACTAACACCTCTAAGAATTCAGTCAAAGAAAGCAGATGACACAGAAGCTAGTTCTCCGTTTCAACATTATCTTGCATGCAAAAAATACTATAGGTCTAGAAAAAACATGGCTGTGAAGAGCTAGTATCTTCAACTCTACCTTAAGCAAAATTTTACTAAGAATCAGAAAATTAGAATCCCTTATCCAGTAATGCTGTTTTTAATCCAAGTTCTCAAAGGAAATATGATTAATGTGTGCTTTCAGTCAGGTCTCTCTTTTTTCAGTATTTTGTAAAATCAGATAAAATTTGACAGAGCAGTAGGAAACTAAAGCTATTTAGTTTCTAAAACTGTTTTGAAAACAGATCCCTGGACATACACCTTATGAATGCCTCTTTGGGGAAAGATTGCAGAAAAAGTCATTATTGAATCTCTCCTAGTAGAAGCTCATTTGCAGATACAGACTGGTGAGGGAAGTTAATTTTTCACTGCTTGCAGAACAACTATTTCAGTGATCCATTTTTTTCAAGAATAGTACCCCGAAAATCAGTGAGTTCTTGTCATATGGAAACAGTAATTAATGCATTGTTTTATAAGTGATATTATCATCAATAAAGTCCCATGTCATCAGTGGAAACAGAAATATTCTGCATTTTAAGATAAAAGCTACACAGAAAAGTCACCATTTCCTGAGTTGAATGTGCCTTTGAGGTGCTTTTTTGTGTCCTTTCCAAGATGTCTGGTTCTATTTAAGTGGAATGGATTACAATAGTTGCCTTTATTAAATAAATCAGTGTGTTTAAAGAGGTTGGTCACTATAGTGTTTGGTTACCTATGAAAGTACTCTGAATTGCCAAAGTTTGCTTCTTGGCTGATGTCTAAAGGCTTCTGTATCACAAAATGTTTTGCTGTGTAGTCCTGCCAGTAATGATGTAGACTTCAGTCAGACACCTTCTCTTGGCCAACTTTTAAAGAAAGGTAGGAAAAGGAATTCAAATGAGGAGAAACAGATTTAGATTTAAGTGGATATACCAAATACTAGTAGAAATGGCTGATGCTAAAAATTCATTCACAAACCTCTCTTTTTTTCCCCAGTTGAGCTCTAAAACTATTTTCTTTAATTAAAGGCTTGGGGGTTTTCCCCTTCTCTAAAAGCAGCCGAGAATACATCTTTGCTACAGTCCTATCAGCAAACAGCCCTTGGAGAAAGCCATCCCATAGCAGGGACTTTGTTTTTTGCAATTCCTCTCTTAGCAAAAAAGCTCTGAGAAATACATACTAGGAGAGTTATGAATGGTTCATAGTGCCTCAAAATAAACCTAGAGTGGTCATGAGCACTTCCTTCATCAGCACTCTGAATCCTTTCTGGCCATCCAAGCCCTCATTTACTAATTTTTCTTGGCAGTTACTTGATACCCTCCCCAGTAGAAACCATCCTTCTACCCAGTCTGCCTTTTGACAGTGCCACAAATGGGTCATTCTCAGAAAAACTGGGTATTGCATGTCAGACTTGGTTCCTTTCTGAGGTAATAGAAAGGTAGACCTCAGAGTAAAATTTAGAGAGTAAACCTTTTTACTTAACAGGAAACAGAAATAACTGGAAGTTTTCTTTGTAAGTACAAATACACAAATCTAATCTCACATACATCCAGTTAAATAAGTTCAACAGGATTTTAAAACAGACATTACCTAAAAGTAATTTATAATATTGTATGAGTTAATGAATAGATACACAGTAAAAACAGGGTTCTCAAGGTATCTTATAAAATAATAATAATTTTTAAAATACCCTCAGCAAAGAGAATATACAGCCAGATGCTGGGGGAAAATAAAATAAAGGGGGAAATAAAATAATCATCCTAGTCCAAATAATATGTGCATAATGACATAATAATACCATTATTAGAACCAAAACAAAAACAAAATCAGTACACAACCCCAGCATGTGGCAGCCTAAAGCCTACAGCAAGAGCAGAGTGAAGGTGGCAGCCAGGCTATTGCCTTTTGCTTAACAGGACCAAACTATTCAACAAGAACAGGATGAAGGGCAAAGCTTACACAGGAATGTTACTTCCTGCACTATCCCAAAATCCAGCAAATCTCTTGAGGAAACCAAGAGCTGCAGACAGGTCTCATTGTAAATATCTTTTCAGTTTGCCAGTGAAAAAAGAAAAATGAAAGATGCATAAATTTTAGAGGAATACATTCTCAAAGCTAAAGCAGAAAGTTCTTTAAAAAAACACAAGAGAAAAATAAGACATTAGAAAAGAAATTACAGTAAGATATCTATATATATTTGAAATATAAAGCCAATCGTGGAGTATGAGAGTCCTAGCCACTAAATATTATTTTAAAAAATATACTATATAAGTCAGCTGAGGAGAGTCAGATTGGCAGATACCTGTGGTGTCAAAGGTATTCTAAAGTTTGCTGATAAAAATAGATTAGGAGGAGCTCCTGACTCCCTTGGACACAGAGAGGCTCAGCAGAGAGACTTTGACAAATTAGAGGTCTTGGTAATCAGCAACCATATGAAGTTTAACAAGGACAAGTGCTGGATTCTGCACCTTGCATGGGGGTTGTATGTACATACTGGGAAACAAGAGTCTGGAGACCAGCACCACAAAAATGGACCTGGGGGTCACTGGCAAGCTGACCACGAGCCAGCAGTGCCCTGGCAGCCAGAAGGGCCAAGGGTGTCCTGGGGGCATCAGGCACAGCATGGCCAGCTGGGCAAGGGAGGGGATTGTCCTGCTCTGCACTGCACTGGGGCAGTCTCACCTCGAGTGCTGGGGACAGTTTTGGGCACCACAAAATAAGAAGGATATAAATGGATTAGAGGGCACCCAAACGATAGCAACAAATATGGTGAAGGGCCTTGAGGAGAAGCCACATGAAAAGCAAATCAGGTTACTTGGTCTGTTCACCCTGGAGGAGACTGAGGGGAGACTTCATTGTAATCTGGAGCTTCCTTGCAAGGGGAAGAAGAGGGGCAGACACTGCTCTCTTCTCTGTGGTCCCAGTGACAGGACCCGAGGGAATGGTCTGAAGCTCTGTCAGGGAAGGTTTAGGTTGGATAGTACATAGAGCTTCAGAGATTTCTGATAAAATTTCTCACCTTCTCTGATAGAATAATCGGCTATTTTAAAAAATACATTTGATATTTTATGTTAATTTAAATTGCAATTACAATGAAGATTATATTAATATTCAT